GAGTAGGGACATCTTGAACTAAATCAGTTTGCTCAGAGCCCCCTCCAACCATTATGTGAAAAACTTGAGGTTTTAGGCTGAAACTACCGGTTCCAAAGTTTTCAAAGACTCATAGATACCTATCATCCAAGTAGGAGGATGTTTGTTTTATAGTCCTCCAGTATTCCACTAAAAACCTAAATTAAGAGACTCATCTCTGTGTGCTCTTTGATCATTTTAGAGTCTGAGTGTGAACTGGAAACTGAACCTTGTCTTAAATTACTCTTTGTTGATTTTCTGTAGAGAGATCCTAGGTAAACAGGTAAGTTGGCATCAGAGAAAAGCACAAGAAAACAGAATATTTCTTTCCTTTGCTATTCTTCATGCTATGTTATCTGTTGGGCTTATTTAATTTTATTATTCTTGTTAATAAAACTGAATATCCAGCACTAAGACATTTAGGAAACAGCACTGTTTGCACTGCAGGCCATTAAATCTTTGTAAATCAGCCCTGGAATATCAGCCTTTCCAATGCATCATTATCTTTTTGCATGGTGAGTTGCTCTAATTGCAAACTGCCTAGATGAGATCCCACCCGCGCATTGTAAAATCACCACAAAGCATAATTGGATGAGTCTTAACCATTCTTGGCAGTAGTCAATCTCTTCTACCTCAGTGGCTTGTGAAGGTATTAAAGGAAAAGACAGCTTCAATGTGTGTAAAAGAAAGTATTGGCTACTTCTTTTTACAGTGAGGAGAAATCCTTTTATGAATGGGAAGGAGCAGGGAATCTGCAGCAATAAAAATGTGACAAAAAAAATCCATGAATTCATTAATGACTCTAAAATGCCTTTTGTTTCAACAGCTTTACTGAGTTGCCTGCCAGTAGCCACACATCACAGAAATATTCTATTAATTCCACTTTTTCCCCCAATTTAAACTCGTTTTTAAATGTCTTCCGTCCCAGCCTAGCTAAAGTGAGACAGTGCCTTCTACTCTTCTAAATGGTCACTTCTAGTGGCTCATAGCCACTTAACTTTCTTTCAAATGTGTTTATGCAAAGAGAGGACAGTTTGCACAATTACTGACAAAGGTACAACACTTCCCTGGTTTTAATTCTCAGACTAAATGTATGCAGCCTGCTGCACAGGTTGTCAGCATGTCTCAAGGACAGCCTTGCATCTTTCCAAGGTAACCACAGAGTTCACCTCCCATGCCAGGCAGCTGCTTCCCAACCTTAACAGCTCTTTGGAAAGCCATAAATGGGCATTCCTGTCCTGGACACTTGGCTCAAAGAGTTTGGTAAGGGCTGTCTGCGTGGGAAGATCTGGGTCCAGAGTCAGTGTCTGACACTGCCTGCATGCTGCCTGTTGTTGGTGTATGTTCAGGTGTTTTTCAGAACAACAATGCTCAGCAGCTTGTGGGATGGACTTTTAGGAATGCAGATATATGGACATGGATGTTTTTCAAAAGTGTTTATTGGCTTTGCAAGTTTTTGTTTACCTGTTATTGCTGTGGAAAAATAAAAGATATAACATAGAGATGTTCAGATCTTTAAAGTGTCATAAAATGCACAACAAAGCATCACTGACACCAAGAGCAAGCCAAAGAAGGCAGCTCTCTTTATGTAAGACTGGTGTCATAAAATATTTAAATCCTTTCAGAGTGTGTGGCTTTCAGCTCTTTCATGCAGATAAGTGTCAGACTGTCAGGCAGCTTTGCTTAAGGAACATGGCACTATCTATTAAACAATTTCTCTTAGTTTCCCAAGAAAACTGTCTAGTTAAATATTTCTCATGAAAAATAAAGCTTGATTCATCTTTTTATTCATCTCACCTTTATTATGTACTTATCTAGTTACTCAGGCAAGTGTATAGAAAGATTTTATCTCTTTTTTTCTTCTTTTTTTTAATTTTTTTTTTTGAGTTAGAAAACTTCCATGGCAATGTAACAGCCATTTATGCCTTTGGAAAACATCACTATCCATTCCTATTCTTAGAGCAAGTTACCGCCAGCATTTACTGCAAGGGCACTGTCCCTCATGGAGACCATAAAAACATATTTTAGCCAACATAAGTGGGATAAGTAAAGTCTGGGAAAGAATGGGAAGAGAGAAAGCAACTAATAATATTTTACAGAATCAGATAAGTTCTTGGTCCTCAGATCTTATTGAATCATTGCTTTGGCCCTAGAGTTTTGGGGTTTTGTGTGAGGGGGTTTTTTATGGCTTAGGGAGGGAGGGAGAGGCCTGTGAGGGTCTTGGTTTGGTTTGGTTTTGGCTTTCTTTTGGGGATTATTTTTTTTATTTTGCTTTCTGTTTGAGCCTTTTTTGCTAAGTGATTCCTTCTCCTTTTGCCTCATCTCACTAGGAATGAGCCCCCCTTACAATTGCCTCCAACTATGCATTTGTTCCTTTACATTGGTACTGAGATTTCTCTGAATAGTTCTGTCCATCCTTCTCTGAAGCTTTTTATCCCATAAAAATGTTTTAGTAATGATTCCTACAGCTGCATTCATGGTTTCTGCAACTAAAATACAATCCCCTCCTCTGGTACCATCTTGGGTTACCATCAAGGCTTGTCCTGGATCCCAGGCAGACTCTTTGAAATGGAACAAAATCAGGACCACACATCCCTTTCAGTCTGTCCTTTTCCCTCCTGTTCTAGTGGAACTAGGACATCTTCCACTAGTTCAGGGTGACAGGATGGCTTGAGAAGGCTGAACTTTCCTCTGAAGTACAGGATTCATTTTAGTGGCTTTGATTTGAAATTCAGATGGTTTAAGTTTCTTTGCACAGAAATGAGCTGCTAAATTCAGGTGACATACCATAGGAAGTCATGAGGTACTGCCCTCTCTGAGTTTTCTCTGCATTGGGGAACACCAGTACAGCCATGTATCATTGGAGACTGTCTTCTAAATTTTCAAAATCGCCAGAGTTCCACTGATGAACATACAACCTTTAGTTACTTTAGCACTGACACACTTTTATTCCTACTTCTGTTGAGCCTTGAATTGTGCAGTTGGTTTCTGAGTATCCCGTATTTTTCATCTCACCTTTTTAATTCCAGGTTTCCCTTTTAAGGTAAAAACATTTAAATTATTTGTAAGTCTGTGGTTCTGCAGTTGCAAGAATGGCACTTTGCCATTCACTGTGATGCTGAAACTCCCATTGGGCTCAGTCATACCCTGATTTACTACTAGCACTGCTTTCTGTTGTTACACACTGACTTAGCTCCTGAATTATTTCCATCCTAGGGCAGAAGGGATAAATCTCTAGACATCTACATTTTATTTGTTTTAAAGAATAAAATATTAGACAGAATACATTTTAAAAAATATATATTAGAAAAGTGGACCACATCAAATCCAATGAATTCAAGTATCCTTTTGCATCTCTAAAAACACCAGCATGCCTTCCCTCTCACAGACATACAGGTCCTGCACAAGTCACTTCTTTTGTTTTCACCAATACAAAAATCAGTTCAGTGGCATAAAGACCTGCTTGTCAGTGGCTTGCAACAGTACAGAAAAGCCTGATCCCCTGGGTTTGTTTTTGCTATGGGAAATTATTACACTGCAACATATGCTAACTTTTCTTGGAACTGCTTGTTTTTTCATAGGCTTTTTTTCAAACTGGAATTCAAATTGTGTTCCCTTCATTACAATTTCTTACATTATTCCTCTGAATTTTTAACAGCTTTATTTGAATTGGCCTATGAACTTTATCATCCCCCCAAATCCACATGTGTGATCTGCCAGTCCACAAATCAACTTTCCAGTAAATGTTTAATCAGTTTATTCCAGAAAAGCCTTTTTATGTACCTTTCCAAAAATGTTAGGCTCATGGAAGCAGTCAGGTAGTCTCTGTTTGTCTGTCCATCCAACCACTTTTCTGTTACTTGCAACAAGATGTTTAAAAATCTGTTGACCAGCATCCTCCTTCTCCAGATGTGTAATGAAAATAAGCAGCTGTAGAGGTGTCCCAATGCAGCAGGCTTGCCTACTAAGAGGAGGAAAAAAATCTACAAGGCTTAGCAGACACATGAGAATCCACTCAGGAATAAGCAAACAGAAATACCCATATTGTAAGAAATTCTTTGGTCAACTTGCATGATACAAGACCCTGAAGAATCTGACATCAAAACACAGATGCAAGCTTTGCTGTTCCTGCAGTCTTTGGATTGCACAGTGGCTAGGGACATACAGAGAGATGTTTAGGAGGAAAGTCTCATCTTTAACATTTTTTGCAGGGTCACTAGTTAATGTTTAGTTAGTTGGTGTCATTAATGTTGATGTTTAAATAAGTCAGATGGAATAGGCTCCAAAGGCATCTATTTTTCCTTATCAGCTGTGAAAGCAGCTCAGGTGCAGGCACCTGTGTCACAGACACCTGCATGTACATTCAGCCCAGTGAATTCATTTCCATCATCTCTCTGTGTGCAGGTAGGAGTACGACCATTTTGGAGGGATGATTTTTTTCTGTCACTACACCCTGCTCAAACCAACTGATGTCAACTGTTTAGGGGACCTGATTTTGTCCCCTGCCACCACTGGGGGACAAGGGCTGCTCCAAGTCTCAGTGGTGGGAGTAGATCCATCACCTGTTATAGTGATTGTGCCAGTGCACTCCAGAGAATGACCATGCAACTCCACCAGTGCCAGTATTGGCACAGGGGAAAATGTGCTCAGCAGAGAAAAGTGCCTGGCCACCCCTAGCAGGACTATCAGCCCTGCTGTGTGAACCATTTTTGATTTCTTAAGAGGTGTGACTTGAGCTATTTATTTTTGTAGGAAGACTTACTGTATGCTAACAAGGTAATCTTCAGAAGCATGTATTTCAGTAATTAGCCCAGCTTGTTCCTAAATTAGGTGCATTGATCAAGCAGTTCAAAGGGGACTTTTTAGAACCAGATGTGGCTTGGTTACGAGCACACCCCACCATCCTTGCTGCTGCTGCAACGTGAGTGGGCTGGGCTGGGCTGTCACTGTGCTCTAAGCTCTGATCCTTTCCACATTTGCAGGACTTCACGCTCCAGCCTCTGGGGATGCCAAGGAAAGCAGCGTGGAGGAGAAGTGCTCCTGTGGGCCTCAGTAACCATGGGATGGCTGTCTCAAGCAGCAGGCCCTGGCGGGGCAGAGCTGACCCTTTCGCTGTGGAGGCTGCCTCCTTGGGGAGCCGGCTCCGTGAGCAGCAGAAGATGAGTGAGTCCCCTCTGAGCTGGTTCAGAGGGGTGTATTTACCTCCTGCTCTGCACCCGTTAAACAAGACATTTGTCAAGGGTGGTGAGTGGCAGGACATAGACAGCACCCAGGAAAAGCGCAGGGCCTTCCTGCAGGACTTTTGTAGAAAATACAACAGCAGAAAGAAGCTGCAAACTCACCTGGTGCACTTAGTGTCAAGGATTTATGTAGAGGACAGGCACAAGGTTCTGTACTGTGAAGTGCCAAAAGCAGGCTGCTCCAACTGGAAAAGGGTCCTCATGGTGCTCAGTGGACTCGCTGCTTCAGCAAACAACATCTCCCATGATGATGTGCACTATGGAAAGCACCTGAGGAAACTGGACAGTTATGACCTAAAAGGGATCTACACACGCTTGAACACGTACACCAAGTTCATATTTGTACGTGATCCTATGGAAAGACTGGTATCTGCCTTCAGGGATAAGTTTGAGCATCCAAACAGCTATTACCATCCGGTATTTGGGAAGGCAATAATTAAAAAGTATAGACAGAATGCAGATGAAGAAGCACTGAAAACAGGATCGGGAGTTAAGTTCAAGGAGTTTATCCAATATTTGTTGGACTCCCACCGACCAATAGGAATGGACATTCACTGGGAGCAAGTCAGCAAGCTCTGCTATCCCTGCCTCATCAACTATGACTTTATAGGAAAGTTTGAAACCCTGGAAGAAGATGCCAATTACTTTCTGCAGATAGTAGGTGCTCCAGCCAATCTGAAGTTCCCTAAATTCAAAGATAGACATTCCTCTGATGAGAGAACAAGTACAGAAGTAGTGAGGCAATATTTAAAGGAGTTGTCTAAGGAGGAGAGACAGCTGACCTATGACTTCTATTACTTGGATTACTTAATGTTCAATTATACATCACCACTTGTATAGCACTAGAATAGCTTCAGGCTTCTACTAGATACTTATCATGTTGGGATTCAAAACAACTACTTTGATATTAGCCCTGAAAGGAAATGAAGTTACTGCTAAGTTGAGTTGTCTTGAATTAGTGGATATTTTATAAGCTAGAGTGATATCATTTGATACTAAATTATGGAGAATTCAAAGGAAAAAAGACCTGTAAACAGCATAAATTGCACTAAAATGCCTGAAAAAGCTGTTTTTACCATTATGGATTATTCTATGGAAGCAGTAGCTCAGACAGCTGTTGCATTAGCTTACCTAATGTTCTTTTAATGGTTTAAGAAAAAAAATTCAGAGTGGCATGATTCTTTTTTTGGTATGTTTGCTTTAGAAATGGGTTTTGAAAAAACTTTTTATTGTATTTTTACTTTCTGTCACTTATTAATAAAGAATCATTGGCTAATTTTCTAAAATGTTTACAGTGTTCTCAGTTGCAAGTCTTGGGTTTTTTTTGATTACCATTAGACTGTAGCCAATTTTAGACCTTTTTTATTGAAGGACGCTCTTGAATACAAATGCATCAAACTAAAAATAGCGCAGCAGTTCAGTTGATGCGCAGAGTAGATATGGGTAAATCTATGAAGGACCAGTCCACTGCCTCATTTTGGTTGATGCACTGTAGTTGACAAATATGACCCTCCTTTCAGAGAGCTGCTGCATTCAACAAAATTAAGGTTTTAATGCACAGTGGATGCATCATTACATGTGACACCGGCATACTGTGGTCCCAATATTCCTGGTAGTCTTCAATTTTGGTGAAATGGACTAAGTTTCAGCCTGGCAGCTCTGGGATATTCTGAGATCTGTACAGAGAAGCAACTTCAATGCAACTACTGTGACCATTCTCAGTCTGCTGGGGTCTGGTTATCAGCCCAGCTCCAGCAATCTCTTACAGAAAAGGTGTGTGTGCCCATTGCCTCCCAAACCTACAAACTGGCTCTGCCCCCAGAGCTCCCTGGAGTCACCTGTGTTTTACTGTCCTGCCTTGCCAGTGGTCACCAAGCCCAAGCAATGGGGTGTGTGGTGCAGTTTTATGTGGTGAAATGTGTATTGGTGATTTGTCCTAGAGGAAGATGTGTCCAGAATCCCACAGTCCTGGTTTGAAAAGGAAAAGATACCTTCTACCCTTCTCTTCCCTCTCCTCCCACAAGTGCTGCCTGACCAAAACATGCAGTTGTTCCTGCAACCTGTCTTGCCCAGTGAGTGGGCCAGGGTGTCCCAGGAGGAGGAGAAACCTCTGGAAAGTCATAGGATCATGGAACCATTGAAAAAGGCCTCTAGGATCGTCGAGTCCAACAATTAACCTAACACTACCAAGTCCATCAGTAGACCAAATCTCTAAAATGGATAGGGAAAAATTTCTATGCCCTTCCAAAATAAAGTTGTCCCCTATGCCTTTCTTTCTGAAATGGTTTGGTGCATCTTGCTCCAGTGCCTTGATATAGCAATTTGTAGAGTAAGGAAACAGCCTGATGGGAAAGTACTGCAAATAAAATATCCTTTTTCTCTGTTCCCAACCACTGGTCACAGCTACTGCTGTTATTGTTGTCTTTTCCTTCATCTCAGGCAAAGTATGATGTACAGATTCAGTCCTTCCACAGGAGTAATTGTGGTTCCTAATTGAAAGGCCAGATCATTTCCTAGGTACCCTCACTGCTTGATTCTCCCTCAGTTTTCTCCTCAGAAGAGGGAAAAAGCCACCTCCATTTTCTCCATGGTGTCAGAGTGTAATCAAACAGGCTCTGCACATCTCTCCTTGTGGCAGGACAAGCCATTCCAAGGGGAAAAGGTAAAAGCACACTGGGCAGCCCAAGCCAGGGGTTGTGCTGTCTGTGGCTAGCAGCACCCATAGCTTAAACCAAGGGAACATGAAGCAAAGAGGAGAAGCAAAAAGCCATCCATCAGCACGAGGTGTGGGGAGATGCATTTGCTGAGCACCAGTGAGAAGTTGCAAGGATGCCTTGGACAGGTGAACACACACATTGTTGCTTGTGTGAGCTGTGCATGGGTGGACCCACAGGTGTTAACACCCAGAAGTGTTTGGGAGAGGATATCTGGCAATTGAACTTCCCCCTCACATGCTTCTCCTCAGGTGAACAAAAATCTCCCCCTTTTAACACAGGATGGTGTTCAACTCCCACCCTCCCTGTCAGAAATCCCTCCTGGTTTTCCTCTGAGCTCCACCCCATCCAAGACAATTAAAGAAGACCTCCTGAAAGTTTTGATTTTGTTTAACCTTCTAAGTCATGTGAAAACTGCCTTGGATTTGACCTTGGTTTGACCTCTAGATTCTCTGCTCTTGTAAGTATTGGATTCAACCTCAAATCCTGAGTGAATCTCTCTTGCCTTTCAGGAAAACCAATGAATATAGTAAATTTAAATAAAAAATAAATGTCCACCAACCTTTAGGTGTCTATATATTTACTTTGTCTTGTCTGTTGTGGATGTGTGTTCATTAACTGATAATTTACACACAAAAAAAAGTCACACTAATGGTACTAGTATTTTCAAAAAAGCACATGAGGAAAAAAAGTGCAACATGCTAATAAAGAATGAAGGCCAATTTATAGATGAGTTTGGTATGAATACTTTAATTCAAAGAAATAAATTAATATTAGTAAATGACAAAGTCTCTGAAGTACTTGAGCTTCATACTGAGTTCATTTTAGTGGCAAACTTTCTGCCTATCAGATCAGAGATTTGAGGGGGCAGCTTAATTGCATTGAAAAGCTACACATTCTCATAAGATTTCTTCTACTAGTGGGTCTTAGATAAAGCTATTGTTTGAGTAAAGGAGGGGGCTGAAAGAAATTATCAGCAAATATTTGGTTTGTGCAAATGATAGGGAAAATGACATTGATTTGCATACATCCATGGACATGGACATCACTTCCCCAGACTATTGTCTTGAAAATCTGATATGATTTGCATTTGTGATTTAACAGGGGAGGATACCAGTTAAGGTCTTTAAAGCATGTGTGTGCACAGAAGTGTAATTGTTTTAGCTGCACTGTTGTTCTATGGCTCTAGTGAAAGTAATTTAACTTCTTTGTACGTTCAACTTCAAATTTCATAGCCCCTAACTGCACTTAAAAATTCATTTTTTGAAAATCTAACCGAGACTTTTGTAAAGAAGAGCCTCTCCACAGTCATGTTCAGCGACCTAAGGGATTCAGATGATCTCAGTAGCAGAATCTAGATTGTACTTTGCTTCATTAACCACATTTTGAAAATCACCAGCCTGCTTTGCCAGGAATTAAGTTACATGATTTAAAATTAACATAAGAGTTTAGCATAATTGAAGTGGGACTGTGATATCTGACTTATGGGATTATAAGAGATAAAGGCATAATTTGCAGCATAAAAGATAACCTCTATTTTTAAAAGTAAAATTTAAAAGGTCAAAGTGGGAGGCTGCATTGTAACTTTGTTTATATTTTGAATGAATCCTGGGCAAAAACAAAAACTGAAGGTCATCCACCATAACTAGCATAAAATCTCATCTCCACAACTGCGCACAGATGTTTGTTTTACTCAGAAAATTATATATAATGTAAGCAGAAGAAGAATGAAAATACACTCCACAACATTCAGTGAGATTATGTCTACACTAGAGATCAGCTGTGGCATGCAGAGCCTCTTTGAAGGGGCTTCATTACAGTAAATGCTTTTTAGTTATGAACATTTCCTCATTTGAAGATCTCTAAGCACTTCCCTAATGCAGGTCAGTTGTCAGAGCAAGTCAAATGTGCTGTAAAGGCATTACAGGGAGCCTGTGGGAGGGCTGGCGTGGCAGGAGAGTGCTCCCTTGGCTCATGTGTCTCTTCCAAACAGCACACAGTCATGCATCCCTCCTGAAATTAAAATCTGGGTTTTGGAACCTAATGTTCTACATCTGCTTTGCTTCTAAAATGAATCAGTATTAATAAAATCAAAAATTTTAATAACAAAATTTTTAAAGAATAAACAAATTTTAAAGAATTAAACTTCATAGGTGTGCATTCCCAAATTCTGATATACGCACCAACATAAGGCAGCTTCGTTTTTCCAGGTAGGATTTGGCTGGCACAGCTCAGACATAGCCATTGTGCCCATCTCTTCCAAAACTGCTGCAAGACTGTTGCTTGCTGAAGTCAGAGGTGTGCAGCCACAGTGCAATCAAACACAGCACATACTCCTGGAAATTTCCTCTGGTGGAACTCCCCCAAAAGGCCAAATTTATTGGAGCTACTCCTGCCTCAGGCTGTGCTATCTTGGTGATGTGTCATTGGAGATCACTGCTTTAATTTTAAATGTAGTTTAAATTTAACTGAAAATTGCAATGTGACACTTTGCAAAAGTCTGAGAGGAAAATATTTTTCTAGAGCATTGTATTGTATATGTGGGTTACATATAAACACCTTCGTTGTATGTGCCTTAAGGCTAACAATACATCAGAAAAGTCTTTTCAACTGTAATGCTAATACCAGTTTATCAACTTTATAACTCCTGTGATGCCTTCAAAACTATATTAATTTGGTCTTGGAACATAAAGTCTGAAATCTGACCATAAATCATTATATTTCATTAAAAATATGGATGCACCTGTCCTGTATCAACCAATTAATGTACAGTTCACAGGGCAGGGCAAGCACATCCACTGTTGGGAGGTGGAACTCTCTGATTTAGCAAAAAACATCTGCTTATATCCCCAGATACCTGGGATTGTTTTTCCTTTGGAAATGTGTACAAATGGGTGGATTCAGGAAACAGTCATATTATTTAGCTTAATGAAAATGTCTTAGATTGTTTGGTTATCATAGAAGTTTCATGCTTTATGGGAAAACAGCTGTGCTTTTGGCAATGCAGCTAATTGAAGTGAGTTCCACATGTCTCTTCAATGTTAGATGTAGCTCTGCTTGTGGCTGGAGTGACAGACCTGGACTTAAGAGATCTGCATCTTCATCCAGGTTCTGTAATTTCATGCACTTGTTGGACAAACATGAAATGTTATCTGTGTTGATGTCCCCACTGGTAAAGTGGTCCTGTAAATGGAAGCAAATTATACCATGTGTCTTCTCCTAAAATCATTAAAGTGTGTGGCTAAAGAGCAGTGGTTAGAAATTAGGTATTAGTAAGGAATTTAA